GGGAACCTACTAGATCCGGAGGGTGTGGAGGAAGGTAGAATCTCCACTGAGTAACTATCCAATCTGTCTAGGTGGGGCTGAGAAAAGGAAATGCAGATAGTTCTCTTGTGATACAATAGTGAATAATTGTTATCAGGACTGATTGTGAGGGTTGGAAATGTAAAGGTAGACATTTTATAGCAAGGAGGGGAGTGATTAACTTTGCAGTCTAGGAGTGGAGGTCCCTGGAACCATAAAGGGAGAAGAGGAGAGAAAGGGACCCTACCCAGAGAAGCAGTGATGCCTGAGATGGAGGCAGAGAGGATGATGTGGAGAGATGGAGCTGCTGGGGACTCTAGACCCAAACAGGGAGAGGGGCTGCGTGCTGATGACTAGGGTGGTGGGGAAGGGTCAGACTTGCAGGGTATACCCTTTGATTGGTTGATGATGCATGGAGAGGATTGTAACCATGGCAATGAAACTATATATAATAGGATGAATGTAAAACTCATGTTCTCCCATGTAAACGATCTTATAATTCACAATAAAACATTAAATAAAAACGAATGGTGTGGCAGGTTAGAGCAGGGTCAGAAGTCAGCGAACAGCCAAGACCAGAGGTCAATGGGTGACCAGGACATGGAGACAATGAGTGACCAAGGATAGTGCTCAGCAGGTGACCAGGGTCAGGGGATGATGGGGGCCAAGGTCGGGGGCCAACGGGGTCAGGATCAGGGGTCATTGGGAATCAAGAGCACATAGGAAGCAGGTGACAGTTCCCAAAGGTGGACTACATGTGGAGGTTTTGATCAGACGAGAGGGGTTCAGTGGACTATACTCCATGAAATTACCTCCGGAGCACCCGCCATGAGACCTATCCGAGTCTAAAGGCCGCTCTGTGACATCTGATCAGGCACATTCCCTTCAACATTGAGACCCTCACCCAAACCCAAAGCCCCTGCTGAGTGGATTCCAACTCACTATGACCCTTAGGACAGAGCAGAAGCCTCACATAGGGTTTCCAAAGCTCAGTCTTTATAGACATAGACATCTCACGCCTAGTCTGTCTCCCTTAGAGCGGCTGGTGGGTTTGAACCACTGACCTTTCAGTAAGCAGCCACAATTTCCTAACAAATTCAATACTTCAGATTTGCTGTACTTTGAAGCTTGTGTACAAGTTCTGAATATTCTGGGGTTTGAGAGATCCTTGTTGTGTGCCCGTAGGTGGATCCCTACTGACTAGGAAAACAGCCCTGCCACCCCAACAATTTTGGGGTTGCCTTCTACAACAATTTTGGGGTCTCCTTTCTTCTATGTGAGTCCCAGTCCCCCTGCAGGTTGGTGTGGCCCTATGACTGAGTCCCTGCGGGGATGGGGATGGTGAGTAGAGCTGCAGGATACCTCTCAGCTGGGGCGTCACTCTCTGGCTACCCCTCTCCTGCCTCCCCTGCAGAGCTCAGCTCCAACCTCACAGATGAAGCCTGAGCCTCCTGGAGCCCTGAGCTCTCAGGAGAGGGAGAGGAGTCGTTCTGTGCTGGGGCAGTAGGGCAGGGGGCGCTCTTTGTTACATGAGATGGGCAAGTCCACGTGTCCTGATTCTACGGAGCATAGCCTAAGTGGCTGCCACATCCAACCATGCCACCGCAGGGAGACTCAGAATTGGAGGCGCAGTGTGAGAAGCAACCTGAGCACTCTTTCTGGCCCAGCCCCTCGTCTGCTCACACCCACACCAGCTCTGCTAAGGGCAGTCCTCTAGGGCTGTGGCTCTTGGACCCAGGACCACCTACCACACTGCCGCAGTAGCAGGATGTCCCCTTGGACATGCACTCCCCCTTCCCCAGACCTCCTGGCACAGCACACTCCAGCAGGAGGGGAGAGAGAGGTCCCAGCTAGGCTCTCATCCCAGAGACATTGCAGAGCCCAGGTCTGGGTGCCTGCCCTGTGCCACCCCACCCCACCCGCCCAGTGCTCCAGACTCTGCAGGGCCACAAAGACAGAGAACAGCAGTTCAAAGCGCATGAAGGGTCTGGCCAGCCTGGGTCACTTTTCAGGAAAGGAAGCCCGCCTCCAGCACCCAGGAGAAATGACTGCCGCGTGGTGTCACCGCAGATTGTCCCTGCCTGCGGCTCCGTCACTGTCCCACGTTTCCCTGTTCATCAGCAGCATCATTGTGTCAAAGAACAAAGGAAAGACTGTGAGGAGAAGCCATGTCTGCTCTCTGCCGCTGCGCAGTCCCAACCCTCCCCGGGACCATCTCCGTGTCCCTGGGGCTCCAGCTCTTCCCCAGTACAGGTGGGATCAAGGGGGCCCTGGGTGGGGCTAACAGCAGGCTCAGTGCTCCCAGAGGGCAGCACTGTGGTCAGGAGGTGGGGAGAACCTGCCGTCAATCCAGGTGAAGGTCTGTTTGATGAGTCGATTCTGCTGGACTCCAGCTTGTCCCCACATGCCCTCCCCCATGAATTAAGTTATTAATCCGGTGTGGCTGGGACGCCTGCTGCAGTTTGGGCCCTGACCACTTGACTTCAGGTCAAAGATCTTATGGTTCACGGTCTGGGTGGGTCTGATGTAATCAGTTGAAAGACCTTCAGAGCAGACTGAGGTTTATCTGAAGGCATTCCTCCTCTGGACCTTGGGAGTTCTAGCCCACCTTCCTATAAATGTGCCCAGCAGCTCTGATGACCCCAATGAGCGTCCTGTTATACGCCTCTCTGTTCCTTGTGCATTCTGACCCTGAGGGGGTGAGACCCTGAGGGGGTAAGACCCTCATTTCTGAGTTCTTGAACTCACACATGAATAATACTGAGAACAGTTCGCCCATTTTGCAGATGAGGAAACTGAAGCTCAGAGAAACCAAGTTTATGATGCCAGGGTCCTCTCCATGGGGTCCCTGTGTTGCCCTGACATGGGAATTGAGTCCAGGTCTCTGGGCTCCAGGGCCCAAATCCCCTAGCCTCACGGTCCTCTACAGGGGACACCCTACCTTCCGAATGTGAGGGAGGGGGCTCTGGAGGTCCTACTCCACCCTGTGTTCAGAGAACCCTGGGAGTGCCAAGGCCATATAAGCCAGGTGGCAGTGCCCTGAGAGAACCCAGTCCCCATCGCCCACCACCCAGGCCTACCCCTCTGCAGCGCTGCTCCCACCCCCAGTCTGAACTGGAGAAACAGCCACACACTCAGGACAGTAAGTTTCATCGTTTTATTAACAAAAGAGTCTGTCTTCGGGTAAGAAGGTGCATACAGCCAGGCCTGACATAGGAGATCTGGTCTGTGGGGGATTGACCACACTCTCTTGGGGCCCCGGGGTCTCCAGGGTCCCAGGGCCTCCCTGCAGCCTGTACCAGCCTGCAGGTACGGGATATGGCTTCGGTGCAAAAATAAAATCTGTGGATGGCTGGCAGGGGTGCAGAGATGTTTGTCAGAGTTGTCAGCAGATGCTGGTCCCCGGAATCTGGAGACCCCCAGTAGGGAGGCAAAAGGGGGACCCCCAACCAGTGCCTGCCAGGGGCTGCACACGTGAGTGGCTGCCAGCACTGGGGTGTATCATGTCATGTCGGGCAGCGTAGCGCAGGAGTTGCCTCCATAGCCCCAGGAGCAAGGCTTCCAGAATCTCTGGGGCTGGGCTTGGGACCGCCAGGCAAGGGCAGGGGCCCGGCGGGAGAGGACAGAGAGCAGCGAGCAGGGGCTCCGGGACAGGCCCAGATAGCAGACCCTAGGCTCAAGCTGCGGCTGGAGGCCAGGTCGCAGCCAGCAGGGCGGGCACCATGGGCCCTGGCCCTCGGACTGGGCTGGTTTCACCAGCAGCTCTCAGACTGAGCTGGGCACAAGGCCTCCTCTCCTGTCCACTCTTTGAATTCTCCTGAGAAGGCAGCTTGCAGGAAGGAAGGCAGGGGGCTGAGCCAGGCACAGCAGCCAAGCTTTGGTGAAAGTCTTGTGACCTGAAGGAAGAAAAAGAAAAAGTAAGGTCAGGAGGGGTGCCAGGTCTGAAGTTTGGGGGGTGGGGGGGTGGGGGTTCTTCAGGAGGGATCTGGGGACAGTTGGTGGGACAGTGCCTGGGCTGAAGATAGGGGCTCCCCAGGATTTAAGAATTCTCTCTCAGATTGTGCAGGACCTAAGAAGTGTCCTGCACCCAGGGCTAGGGAGCTGGGGAGCTCTGGAGGTGCCCACAGGTTCAGCCTTAGGGCCCCTGGTCAGGACAGCTGGGGGTGGAGTCTTGGAGTATGGGGTGGGGGGTCCTTGTTACCTGCCATCACCCTCCTGGCTCCAAGGGCTGCTGCTTCAGCTACATTTGGGGACTCAGGTCCTCCGGGACCCTGTGCTGCCTCTGTGACTCACAGTGCCATCCTCCAGGCGTGAGTGAGTCACCACTGTTCAAAGAGAAAAGATGGCCGGTGAGAGATAGCTGGGCAATGAGGCCCCACTGCCCCCTCAGTCCCCTCCACAAGACCGCCCGCTCAGCTCCATCCCAGCCTTCAGGACAGGTGCCAAGGGCCATGGCTCACCTGACACTCCAGGATCCCTGTCTGCTGCGGCTGCCATTGGCCCTCCCTCGGAGAGGAGCAGTGTTGCTTCGAGCTGGCCAGCAGCCCTGGAAGGAGCTCGCCTGCCAGCCGGCTTGGTGGTGGCTGCCAGGAGCGTCACCGGAAGTTGAAGTTCCCGAGACTCTGGTTCTGCTCAGCTTCTGCTCTTGGGGTCCCCAGCTCCTTGGGCGCCAGACGCGCCCTGGGACACTTGGCTTTCCTTGTGTCCTGGGGGCTGGGCGTGGAGACCAGCAGAGGGAGGGACCTGGGAGGTTCCGATGTGGCCTGAGAGTGTGGTGGCTGTGAGTCGGGGAAGACAGAGGGTGGGATGTGAGGGGACGTCAGGGCAGGGCCCGGGCCTGCGGACCTTTGCTGTTTCGGGGGGCGTGACTGTCTGTGAGGATCCGAGGTGGGTCTAAGGAAGAGACCGCGGTAAGAATTCTTTGGCATCAGCTCTAAAGTACGGGGGCCAACTGGCCCGAGGCTGTGGCGGGGTCACCGCCTCTACTCGGGCTGGGTCCGATCACTGGCGGCGGACTCGCTGTTGAGGGCAGGCGTCAGCGACTCGGCCTGGTCCTCAGTGGCCAGGGGTTGCCCGGTGGGCTCGGCCGCCTGCTCCAGCCCGTCCTGCACCTCCAAGCCCCTCTGGATAAGCTGCTCCAGGGTCTTGGGCAGTGGGTGGCGAAGGAAGCGCTTGAGTTTGGGCTGTAGGGTGCCCACCACATACTGGATGACCTCCTCCTCCTCGGCGTCCACGTACAGGGTCTGGTAGAGGTCCCGTTTCCGCCACAGGAACTGGTCCAAGGGCTCACCCTGCTTTTGCGGCAGGTCCAGCTCTCTCTGCATGGCCTCTCGGGACAGTGTGCCCTCACTGTACTGCAGAAACTCCTTCTTGAACTCGACCCAGTTCTTCACAGACCCCTGCTTGAACTCCCACCACTTCTTGGCCGGCCCGTTCATGTGGTTCTGGATCTGGGAGAGCCAGTACTCCTCGGTGCCGCCCACCTGCCGCAGGTAGTCCTCCAGATGGCTCAGGAACTCCCGGGGATCCTCGAAGATCTGCGTGTCCACGCCGGGGCTGGGCTGCCCGTCCTCGCCCGGCCCCCACGGAGGATACTGCTGGCCTTCTGTGGACTCCTGCCCTGGCAACTCGCAGGCGGGCGGCGGGGTGATGGCGTAAGGGCTGACGGTGTAGTCGTAGTTGTCCGCGTCCTGGCAGTAGCTCTCCGGACCCCCGACGCCCACCGAGACGGTACGGCGGGCCGGCTCGCTGCCCACTGGGTACTTGGCGCCCATGGCCTCCAGGCGGTCAGCCCAGCGCTCCAGGCGGTAGAAGACCTCACGCCACACGTGCATCTCGCGCTTGACCCAGCGCTCCAGGTTGGCGATGGTCTCCTGGCAGCGGCACAGGCAGGCCTTTATAGACTTCTTCCAGCGCTGCGAGTCGCCCGTGGGCACGTAGCCGTCCAAGTTGGTCTCCAACTTGCCCACCGACCTGTGCAGCCCTTTGAGTTCGCGCTCCACTTGCTTGGACACCTCGGTCAGCAGGTGCCGGTGGGTGCGGCGGACGTGCTCCAGCATCTCCGCCCGGCACTTGCCGATCTGCAAGATCACATTGGGCTTGGCGGCCGGCGCGCCCCGCGGTCCGGGGTAGGCGTGGAGGCCGCCGCTCGTCATGTAGTCTAGCTCCATCGCTGGCGGAAAGAGAGACGCGCCGGGGGCTAAGTCCTCTTCAGGCGGAGCGGGCTCGGCTCGGCTCGGCTCGGAGTCCGGCGCGGCGCGGCGCGAGCAGCGTTGGATGCGGCAGAGGATGGAGGATGCTGGAGGACCGAGGCTCCAAAGCTGCTCGGAGCCGAACCCCGGCCGCCGGCTCTTTATGCTGCTGCGCCGGGCCGTGGGCGGCCCCTCCCGGAGTCCCGGCGCTGATTGGCTGAGACGCGGCCCCTCCACCGCCCCGCCTGCGCGCCCACTCGCCTCCCCTC